TGTGTGTGTGGTAGAAGTATCGTTTTTTGTACTCTGTATCGGCAAGTACTCAGATCCAAGTATTGGTATCGTATCGGTTTGAAAAAATTGGTATCGTTGCATCCCTAAAAGCATCTGTCACTGTGACAGTCAGTGTCAAAAAGTTGCTATTGCAAGCTAAAAGTCTTTCTGTTAATGGCTTAAAATTAATTATTGCCTCAAAAATGTACACATACCTCGTGTTACGATCGGTCGATGAGGGAAATCTGAGTTTGTGTAATTTAGATGGCTTCAAATTACATTTTGTGTAAATTCCTGTGTGAAAATGTGCACTAAAATGATTTGTGAACAAATAAGTAAATTTAATTTACTTCACACTAGAGGAAATTTAGTCCATCTTTGTCGTTTTTGCCAGGAGAAAAACCCACTCTTGCAACAGCCGTGATTGCTTTGGAGAGTCTGTAATTTGTTCAGAGTAAACAGAAGAATGGCTGAATTATGAACATAGGCAGTGGTGGCTGACAGGAAAACACAGAAAACTTAAATAAACACAAATAAAAATAGTCCTGGTTGCTTTGTTTGACAAACAAATGACACTTAACCTTCACGAGAACTTGTCTGCAGCCATCACTAAGCTTGTAAGCTCTCACATTAAACCTGTTCCACATGCAAACATGTTTCTCTAACACATTTCTTCCCCATTTCTTTTCTCAGGTGGGACCTCCACTCTGCGCCTCTCATCAGTGCGAGAGCTGCCAGGTCAGCTGCAGGAGCTTTACCAGCAGGGTTTCATTCTGGCTGCTGTTCATCCATTCATCCACCCCTGTGGTCCAGAGTCTAACAGCCCACAGTACCAGCTCTACAGGGCCATACTGGTCCGATTAAATGACGGGTAAGAGAGTCATTTAAATGTGTAACTGACTGAGCTAAGACTATTGTTACATAGGAGAGAGTTCAAATATTAATTCCTACTCAATCTTAGCTAAGCTACTTCCTCTCCAGGCAAATTAGTCATTGTGAAGTTTATGAAAAAAACAAACATACAGTTTTCTTCATGTCCCGAAAAGATGGCACACCGTCAGTAAAGTGTTTCTGTTAAAATTGCAAATAGAGTTTTCTGAAGTTAAAAAAATACTGAAAAAAAGGTTTTGGGGGCGTTTTTTGGACTAGAATCGGCCTCACCATTAAACTGAGGGCTCTTATTAAAAGTATTTTACCAAACAAAGACTGGGGTCTGGCCCCAAAGCAATCATCTTCCAAGGGCCTTAGACATCTTAGCCACACTTGTGGGAATAAGACCTTTGTTTGCACAAAATGATGAAGCCATTATAGTCACTTAAGAAAGCCTGTTAAGATTACTAATGTACCTTAATTGGTGTCATTATGCAAAAAAACACTTAGTGGGAATCAGGTTTTGCTTCATCTTCTGCAAAAATGGTAGCTTGGCTGGTTGGTGGCAGACATCAGGGTCTACATAATGGTTATGTTTACGGCTATTGTGTTATAGTTCAGAAATTACTTCTTTTTTTGGAATGCATAATAGTAAAAATTGTAATCTGAAAACACACTGTGGAGGCTCGTATTCATTGTACAACCTTCCAGTGTTGCTATATTGACACCACTGCATCACAACATCTGTTTGCGGCTCTGCAAGCTGTCACAGCCAAAACTGGCTGCATGGCCCAAAGTCACCACTGCCCCCTACATCTGCCCTCCAGCCTCGTGTCTGAGCCCCGTCGTTTTTTTTTCTGGGAACTGTGGGTGTGGGCGCACATTTCAGTTGAGGCAGGACGCCAGGGAGCTGGTCCAATGGTGGTTGAAGGACATAAAGGGGCAGTGGGGTGATGGTTACTTTCGGACCGGTCCGATTTCTTCTTAATATCGCTTTTCCTGTAAATAGAAGAACACTGAGTTTTGACTGGATTTGATGGCCCCAAGGGTCATGAAATGTGATCAGTTTATTCAGGACCACAAACTGTGAAGTCAGTTAAAATAAAAACATGACAATCCAAAAGAAAAAAATCTATGAAGAGAATGTTTTTTTCCTTTTTCTGGCAGCAGTGACATGCAGACAGGTTGAAGCCCCAGTGGCTGCTGTGTCTGGCTCTGAAGCCCAGCTAAGAATT